CTTTTTTCCTAATAATAAGGAATGGGAGAGACGGGGTTTGGGTTAAATAAAACAGCATCGATGGTAAGCCCATCATCATGGAAGCTGGGTGAAGAGCAGCTGGGCTTCAGTATGTCTTTCTGTTTTGTACATGTTTGAGATTTTCATTATAAAAATGTTTTCAAAGATTGTGTGTGTCTGTGTGTGTGTGTGTGTGTGTGTGTGTGTTCTAGAGAAAGAGAGCGAGAGTAGAGAGAAATGAGTAGGAATTAGAGAAACTAAGTGGTTGAAAATATTCCAAACAAAGAAAGAGAATGAATGTGCAATGTCTAGGGAGAAGCAAGGGTATCTGACTCTTCTTAGCAGCCAACCTTGGTTAGGACAGAGATAACCCTGGTTAGGACTTCACTGTCTCTGTCCTGGACTATTGCATTATCCTTCTGTTATAGACTGAGTATCTGTGTCCCCTCAAATTCCTCTGTTGGAACCCTACCCCTCAGTGTGACGATATTAGGACAGGGGCTTTGGAAGGATCAGGATCAGATGGGGTCATGAGGGGAGCCCTCTTGAAGACTCCCTTTTCAGAGTCAAGCAAGACCCTTGCTTGCTTCCTTGTTGGGCTACAACAAGAAGGCAACTGTTTCCCCCTGGAAGAGGGCCCTCCACAGAACCTGACCTTGCTGGCACCCTGATCTTGGACTTCCAGCCTCCAGACCTGGGAGTAATAAATTTGTTATTTTCTTCTTTGGTCTCCCAGCCTCCGGTTCTTCGTTATAGCACCTTGAATGGATGATGCCTTCTAACCAGTCCTTCTACCTCCCCTTCCTTCATTCATTTGTGCTCACTGACTCAGGAAATATTTATTAAGAGTCTACTATGTGCTACTCACTGTTCTTGGTCCTGGGAATACAGCCATTTACCAAAAGGACAAGTCTTCTTTCTCAGGAGGAGAGAAACACATAAGTATTCTTATATCAGATCCCTGTGGTCTTCTGATATGATAACTCAGTGGTGGAAGCTCTGTGTTTGCATATATAACTTTATTCCCCTCTGGGGCTAAAAGTGCCTTTGAGGTGGGCTCTGGTCCCCCTGCAGACTGCCTGGGGGCAGCCACTAGTGTTCTGAATCCAGGGAGATGGGCAGAGTTCTGAACTGAACTTCAGGCGTGGCTCTCAGGGTCAAAGCCCCTCCGGGCATGGCCCCTAGGAAGTAGAGAAGGTGCTAGCACCAGCTGAGGAAATATTCAGGGAGGCAGCTTACTGACTCAGCAGGGCTTTCTTAGCTCTGAAGCTGCTTTCAGAATCTGATTTGGAGGATGGTCCGCCATACCTGGATGAGAAGAGGGTTGGCTACTCACAGCCACACTTCCATGACTCAGGCTGATTACAAGTTATGGTGACAACTGTCCCAGCATGCCCCAGGCTGAGGGATTTCCCAGGATGTAGGGTTCTTCGTGCAAACACTAGGATGGTCCAGGGCCAGCTGGGACAAACAGTTATGCCATTAGGGCTGAAGCACTTCTAGTAGAGCATTCTAGTAGAAACATGATGTATGGCAATGTTAAACTTACATGATAAAAATAAGCAAATTATCTTTAGTCAATTATGACTTTCCTTGTGGCGTTCGTGAATCAATGACAGAGATCAGTCTGGGTTGAGTTCATGCTTCCCCTTCTGCCAAGATGTTACCCACCATACAAGATGTGAGGATCTCTTCTCTGTGGTGACTGTAACTTAGAAACCAACTAAGTTATCTGGGCTCTGACATGACTAAAGTCACTTGTTAAACTGATATCTTATTGTTACAGTACTAGGTGTTTAGACTAAATGGAAGCACTAGAGCCGGTACTCTTTGGGGTACCCAGAACCTCCTGAAAGCTGTTGCACTGACATCAGGTATGGCCCTCCATTTGTAGGAATCACAGCTCACAGCTGATCGGGCAGATAGAAGACGCTGGCTCAGGACTGGCCACTTAATTTCTCCCTCCAGGGAATATAAAGTTTAAGCCAAAGAATATTTAGTGAGCTCTAGATACCATATTTATTCAATTTCATCAAGGGGCTAGTTAATAAAGATTAATTAAAGGAACTTCTAGGCATCTGACCCTTTGTGGGGTGTAAGGATGCTCAGAATGAGATGCTTTCCTGCGATGCCCATTTGCAACCACCACACCAACAAGTGAGCAGAGAGGGCTGGTTTTCAAAGAAGTGCTGGAAACTGTAGACGTCTCCATGTGGAGCTGGAGGCGAGAGAGCCAGGGGTGGAAGGAGGAAAGGAGAGAGCCTGCCCACTTCCAGGGCCCTTTCTCAGTCTCGCACCTGCCCTGGGTCCTGGGAGATCCCCATGTAGTTCTAGTACATGCATCCTGTACTACACTCAGCTGGGTTTCACCCCTTAAACCAGATAAACTGATCAAAACCAGTACTGAATTTATTTGGTAATACCCCACGATGGGAACTTGAATACTGAGTCCATTTTTGCTCCCAGAGCATGTTCAGAATGTTTCTTTTTCAGTCGTGTTCCCAAGGTTGCTCTGGAAAGGTTGGTGATTTTCCTGCTGTATTGTTATGAGGCGGAAGCAAGGGCCAGCACGTGAGGGAGGAAACATGGAAGGTCAGCACTCGTCTCTTCTCAGCTCCCTCGTCTCCTAGGATCCTGAGCATTGAGACAGTGAAGGAGAGATGAATGAGGCTGACCCCCATACACAGCACCTACCACAACTAACAGCTACTCAGATAAGCATCCAGAATTGAATTTAAAATCATTTAGCAACTATCTTTCCCACTCATCTTTCATTCAAATTATTTTAGTCTATTAGCATATTTGTTTAAGATTCAAATATATTCGTGTGAGCTTGGGTGATTCTGCATGGACATGGAGGTCCTAAATTTTCTCCAGCTTGTTTATAATTTGGAGACCTGAAGTTTTGGTTTATAGAAGGCGTACTTCATGCTCCAGAAGCTCATAAAACAAAATCTAGGCTTACAAACAAATAGGGAGGGATTTCAATGACTAGGGCAGTCATGTAGGTCGATCAGAAAGACGAGGCACTTCTGCTGGACACAGGCTCCCAGCCCGGTGAGCCGCTGTGCCCTGGGAACCTCTGGGGAATGAGCAGAAATGGATTCAGTGCAGAGGGAAACGAGGCAGCAGAGGCTGGGCCCAGGGTGGTCCCCTGTGGTCTTTCCTCCCTCGCAGCCCTGGAAGCCCCCAGCATCACAGGAACCTGGCTACCGAGTAAAGCCCATATCAAAGAGTTAGAGCCACACTGTGTCCTTTTAGAACAAGGGCTGGCAAACTATAGCCCACAGACCAAATGCAGAGCCTGGTTCTCAATGTCCTATAAAGTTTTCTTGGAAAGAGCCACATCATTTATTTATGTATCGTCCATGGCTCCTTTGCTACAACGGCAGAGTTGAGCAGCTGTGACAGAGACAGAACCTAAAATACGTACTAACTGGTCCTTCACAGAAAACAGTGTGCCAGCCACTGTTCTCAACCTACACTGAGTAAAAAGCATCAGAGAACTCTTACGAGGGTTCTCATGCTTTCTTCTTTATGACTAAGCCTACCTCAGACTCCAAGTTCATGGGAGTGGCACGTTAGGTCCGTCTATGTGGAGTTTCAGTGAAATGTTATCAGAAGCCATTCCCTTGGTCAACATGGACAGCTTTTTCAGATAAGCTTTGAGTTTGTTGTCAGGCTCCCCTGGGATTTCATGTTTTTCTGGGGTGGGTGCAGCCATCACTCAACTCTGTCACAGTTACAGAGGTCACGATGTGAGGTAAGAGACGTCACCTGGAGGTGCCCTTTGGCCAGAGGGGCAAGCTCACCGCCTCCTCCTGGTGGCCCTCATGTCTCTGTGCAGTTAAGCTCAATGTCTCTGGTCCACATTGTGTTAAGTTCTGTGCAGAATATGAAACAAAATGTTACAAAGGGTTGCTGTCCTCAAGAAGCTTACAATCTTCCTAATATTCCTAATAACTGTACAAACAGAAAGCAGATATAATTGCCCTCTGATTATTCTTATATCAGATCCCTGTGGTCTTCTGATATGATAACTCAGTGGTGGAAGCTCTGTGTTTGCATATATAACTTTATTCCCCTCTGGGGCTAAAAGTGCCTTTGAGGTGGGCTCTGGTCCCCCTGCAGACTGCCTGGGGGCAGCCACTAGTGTTCTGAATCCAGGGAGATGGGCAGAGTTCTGAACTGAACTTCAGGCGTGGCTCTCAGGGTCAAAGCCCCTCCGGGCATGGCCCCTAGGAAGTAGAGAAGGTGCTAGCACCAGCTGAGGAAATATTCAGGGAGGCAGCTTACTGACTCAGCAGGGCTTTCTTAGCTCTGAAGCTGCTTTCAGAATCTGATTTGGAGGATGGTCCGCCATACCTGGATGAGAAGAGGGTTGGCTACTCACAGCCACACTTCCATGACTCAGGCTGATTACAAGTTATGGTGACAACTGTCCCAGCATGCCCCAGGCTGAGGGATTTCCCAGGATGTAGGGTTCTTCGTGCAAACACTAGGATGGTCCAGGGCCAGCTGGGACAAACGTTATGCCATTAGGGCTGAAGCACTTCTAGTAGAGCATTCTAGTAGAAACATGATGTATGGCAATGTTAAACTTACATGATAAAAATAAGCAAATTATCTTTAGTCAATTATGACTTTCCTTGTGGCGTTTGTGAATCAATGACAGAGATCAGTCTGGGTTGAGTTCATGCTTCCCCTTCTGCCAAGATGTTACCCACCATACAAGATGTGAGGATCTCTTCTCTGTGGTGACTGTAACTTAGAAACCAACTAAGTTATCTGGGCTCTGACATGACTAAAGTCACTTGTTAAACTGATATCTTATTGTTACAGTACTAGGTGTTTAGACTAAATGGAAGCACTAGAGCCGGTACTCTTTGGGGTACCCAGAACCTCCTGAAAGCTGTTGCACTGACATCAGGTATGGCCCTCCATTTGTAGGAATCACAGCTCACAGCTGATCGGGCAGATAGAAGACGCTGGCTCAGGACTGGCCACTTAATTTCTCCCTCCAGGGAATGTAAAGTTTAAGCCAAAGAATATTTAGTGAGCTCTAGATACCATATTTATTCAATTTCATCAAGGGGCTAGTTAATAAAGATTAATTAAAGGAACTTCTAGGCATCTGACCCTTTGTGGGGTGTAAGGATGCTCAGAATGAGATGCTTTCCTGCGATGCCCATTTGCAACCACCACACCAACAAGTGAGCAGAGAGGGCTGGTTTTCAAAGAAGTGCTGGAAACTGTAGACGTCTCCATGTGGAGCTGGAGGCGAGAGAGCCAGGGGTGGAAGGAGGAAAGGAGAGAGCCTGCCCACTTCCAGGGCCCTTTCTCAGTCTCGCACCTGCCCTGGGTCCTGGGAGATCCCCATGTAGTCCTAGTACATGCATCCTGTACTACACTCAGCTGGGTTTCACCCCTTAAACCAGATAAACTGATCAAAACCAGTACTGAATTTATTTGGTAATACCCACGATGGGAACTTGAATACTGAGTCCATTTTTGCTCCCAGAGCATGTTCAGAATGTTTCTTTTTCAGTCGTGTTCCCAAGGTTGCTCTGGAAAGCTTGGTGATTTTCCTGCTGTATTGTTATGAGGCGGAAGCAAGGGCCAGCACGTGAGGGAGGAAACATGGAAGGTCAGCACTCGTCTCTTCTCAGCTCCCTCGTCTCCTAGGATCCTGAGCATTGAGACAGTGAAGGAGAGATGAATGAGGCTGACCCCATACACAGCACCTACCACAACTAACAGCTACTCAGATAAGCATCCAGAATTGAATTTAAAATCATTTAGCAACTATCTTTCCCACTCATCTTTCATTCAAATTATTTTAGTCTATTAGCATATTTGTTTAAGATTCAAATATATTCGTGTGAGCTTGGGTGATTCTGCATGGACATGGAGGTCCTAAATTTTCTCCAGCTTGTTTATAATTTGGAGACCTGAAGTTTTGGTTTATAGAAGGCGTACTTCATGCTCCAGAAGCTCATAAAACAAAATCTAGGCTTACAAACAAACAGGGAGGGATTTCAATGACTAGGGCAGTCATGTAGGTCGATCAGAAAGACGAGGCACTTCTGCTGGACACAGGCTCCCAGCCCGGTGAGCCGCTGTGCCCTGGGAACCTCTGGGGAATGAGCAGAAATGGATTCAGTGCAGAGGGAAACGAGGCAGCAGAGGCTGGGCCCAGGGTGGTCCCCTGTGGTCTTTCCTCCCTCGCAGCCCTGGAAGCCCCCAGCATCACAGGAACCTGGCTACCGAGTAAAGCCCATATCAAAGAGTTAGAGCCACACTGTGTCCTTTTAGAACAAGGGCTGGCAAACTATAGCCCACAGACCAAATGCAGAGCCTGGTTCTCAATGTCCTATAAAGTTTTCTTGGAAAGAGCCACATCATTTATTTATGTATCGTCCATGGCTCCTTTGCTACAACGGCAGAGTTGAGCAGCTGTGACAGAGACAGAACCTAAAATACGTACTAACTGGTCCTTCACAGAAAACAGTGTGCCAGCCACTGTTCTCAACCTACACTGAGTAAAAAGCATCAGAGAACTCTTACAAGGGTTCTCATGCTTTCTTCTTTATGACTAAGCCTACCTCAGACTCCAAGTTTATGGGAGTGGCACGTTAGGTCCGTCTATGTGGAGTTTCAGTGAAATGTTATCAGAAGCCATTCCCTTGGTCAACATGGACAGCTTTTTCAGATAAGCTTTGAGTTTGTTGTCAGGCTCCCCTGGGATTTCATGTTTTTCTGGGGTGGGTGCAGCCATCACTCAACTCTGTCACAGTTACAGAGGTCACGATGTGAGGTAAGAGACGTCACCTGGAGGTGCCCTTTGGCCAGAGGGGCAAGCTCACCGCCTCCTCCTGGTGGCCCTCATGTCTCTGTGCAGTTAAGCTCAATGTCTCTGGTCCACATTGTGTTAAGTTCTGTGCAGAATATGAAACAAAATGTTACAAAGGGTTGCTGTCCTCAAGAAGCTTACAATCTTCCTAATATTCCTAATAACTGTACAAACAGAAAGCAGATATAATTGCCCTCTGAAAGGGCAGAAATTAAACAGAAAGTTAGGTTACAAATGTATCTGCAACAGGGATGAATAATGGAACAGTTAGAAAACTGAAAAGAAAGCTTCTTGCTTTCAGCATATGTAATATTTCAAGTGATGAGGACATATTTTACCCAGAATTAAAAATGTCCAATCAAGACATCAATGCAAGAGTGAGAACCACAAGAGAAAGAAACGCATTCTGGGATGAAATGGCGATGGGTATCAGAGGGGGTCAGCAGCTGTTGGGGAAAGGCTTTCTAAAGACATTTGGTCTATTCATTACTAATCAAAACAATTTAATCTGGCTTAATAATTCTAAATCTAGCAAGGCAGGAAATTCAATGCTAATAATTTTAGAACTTAACTATGCAAGGCTTGAAACAACATAGATGTTTTGCACAATGCCTGGAAAGGCAGCAAGAAAAAGGAGTTCTACTCACTAAACTCCTTTTCCAAAGTAATTTCTATATTTTCACTTCTTTGCAAAAGATATTATGTTAATTTCTGTTTCTGATAAGTGATAATATCCTTTTCAGATCTATTTCTAACAGTTACAGACTTTTTGAAATGTATGCAATTGTAGCAAATTGTTCCTCCACAAAATTTACTTAATACAGTAGGTTAAAAAGGACTCTTGTTCGTGATGCCTCAGACCTTTAGGTACTGATGTGGGGTCTTTTCGGTCCCATTTAGAATTCATTCTACCCCTTTCTTATAAACACACCAACTACTCTGGAGCAATATGGCTGGCCACTGCCAGAAAGTCAGGCCTTCCAGTCAGACTGCAGGAAACCCTCCACTTAGCACCATGGGGCAGGCCTGGCATGAAATAGCCCAGTACCGTCCTCAGAAAAGGTCCAGCAGTATATTGTGGTTCTGTTCCCCATGTTATTTCTATGACACATTTATTATATGTACCAGAAGTGTTTACCCACCAGGGAATGCAAATCAATCAGGGGTGTCTTATCTTATATCAAAGCCATGCTAGTCTACTAAATTAAAAAATAGAAAATATTTTCCCCATATCCTGATGTAGAAATGCTGATTAAATATAATCAAGACAAAAGATAAGCAGTACATGTCATGCAACTTCAAAAGAGACACAAAGATGAAAGGTATGTGTAAAGGAACCAAGTCAAAGAATCAAGGAAAGGAAAAATGGGACCAAGGTTTGTTTGAGTATCATTTCCTTTAGCAAATTTTTTTTTTTAATGAAAGCTGAACTTCTGTCCCTAACAATTTCCTGACATTGCTGCCCAGGACATTGTGCGGCTCCTAGGCTGGATGAGCAAGGACAGGCCTGAATGCCCAGTGGAGCTCTCCTCTAAGCCAAAGGGCCTTCAGATTCCCCAGGATATGGAATCCATCGGCTTTCTTTTCCTGTAATAGCCTTTCCACACTTTCTGATGAATTGGCATTATTCCTCAGACCACCGCCTGGTGCAGAAGGAGGACAGACCACTAAGGCCGGCAAGGACAGATTCCCCACATCACTGGGCTCTGCTGCTGCACTTGAGGTCCCGGCCCTGACCCCTGTTGACCACCCCTAAGGGAGGTTTACCTTGGGGGCTGGGGCACAGCAGGACTTGGGGGTTGATTGGAGCCAGGTAGCTTGCACAGTGAGTGTTGATGGACACCGACTATCCCCACAGCCCTCACCTGGTCCCTCTACTCACCCTTCACCCAACTCCCAGGAAGCCCCTAAAAGCAAACACACACATGGACGCCACTCCAGGTCTTGTTTTAAACAAGCTCCGTAGAGTAAGCCCTTTTGAGGCCACTAATATTCTTCACCCGGGCACAGGTCATAATTTCAGGCCTCTGTTATGTACACGGTGGCACAGTGCTAGTGGCAGCACGAGCAGCCAGCCCGGATGGCCACGCCCACCTGAGTCCCCCCAGGACCAGTTCTGTTTAGCCTCTCCACCTGGAGTCTGCTCATCATGGATCCTGAGCTTGGAAACGCCATTACCTTGAGTTTCTGTTTCCAACTTTAGACTGTGAAACTCCAGCAGATATTGAGATAGGAGACTAGGGGAGAGGGAATCAAGCAAAAAGGGGAAAGGAACTAATATTTACCCGCACTATCACAAATAGATTGTTCTGCCCTGCACACTCAGATGTGATTGCTCAAGTGTTTAACTTTTTTTTTTAATTGCAAATACCAGTGTGGACCCATTTTGAGAAGGACTTTGCATCAAGACTGCTTTGCAATTTGAAAAATCTGATCAAGAGATCCCAACTTCCCAACTGGTGAAAAGAACCCTGAGTTCATAAAATTATTAATCTAAATGAAGCTTAATAGCACTTAGCACTTCAAAGCATACTGAACACATTAACTAATTAATCGCCACCTTATGCCTTCAAGGCATATAAATAGCTATTATCCTCCCTTTACAGTTGGGATAAATGAGACTTAGATGGCACGCACCGTTGGCCTGCACCCCAGATGAAGTCAGGATTTGTAGCAGACGCAAAATCAGAAATTTCTGAATGCATTGTCTTTGTTGTATATCCATTCTTCTCAAATTTTCTTTCCTTCTAGATCTCTGTTAAAACATTTTTCATTTGGACTTAGAGAGATTTCAAATCTTTTCCTAAATGTGACAGTTCCTGACATAGATGCTTTAAAACCAAGGGGGTCCAAACTGATTAAAGTTGTAACAAATTGGAATGCTGGAGAGTTCATATCATCTGCCAAGGAAAGACGTTAATCTGATTGAATAATGAGTTTCATCTGGATTGGTTTACGCCATCTGTTACCAAATGTTTTCCAAATTGTGTAGTATGAATACAGGATTTTGCAGAATAGGAGTATCAACCATGATGATGAAAGTAATCTTTTTATTTTTTATTTAAAAGAAAATCAAGCACAGTAAAAGTAACATGTTCTTATCTTTCCTAAAAAAGGAAAATCTTTCCCCAATGTCTGTATCATATAAACAAACACATGGCAACACAACATAGAAAAACCTAGAAAGTTGTAGGTGTCTCTGAGCAGGAAACTCCCCAAATTAGTCTGTAAACTTTTTTTAGACATTGATATTTCTTCACTGCTAGCACCTGATTGTCTCTAAAATCTTTAAGATATACAACTTCTGATAAAGGGAATCACTTTTCTGATACAGAGAATTTTAGAGGAAGAAATGAACCTTGAGATTGCTGGCTTGAGTCCACTAAGTCAATGAGTAAGAAATCTGAAGTCAGTGAAATCAAGCAACAGGAACAAGGATTCGGTCTTCTAGTTCTCAAGCCACGATTACACAGATAAAAAAAGAAGCTATTTGTTATGTGCATCAGCTTGTAACTTTCAGATAGCGATTAGAGGCAGACAGTAATAAAGTCCAAGGGTCCTGACTCTCAGCTCCCTGCTGGCTTTGGAATTCCTTTCACTTTAATATATTTAACAAATTTTTCATTTCATTTTGTGTTTTGCTTTAGAGTGCATTCCCCAAGCACCGCCATAAATAGGTAGATAAATCACTGCAAGGTAGATAATATTTTCTCATGGGAACAATGATAAAATCAAGGGCTGTATTTCTAATCAAGAATACAGCATCAAACAGATCTATATCTGAGCAACAATTTGTAAGGGCAAATATTAAACAACCACAAAACTTTAAAATAATTTTCCTCTCTCTAGCCTCAATTACCTCATCTGTAAAATAGGTATAATAAAATAGTGTGTCTACCTCATAATATTGAAGGATTAGTGGAGATAATATAAGTAAAGCACTTGACATAGTGCCTACCTTTTTAGTAAGTGCTCTTAAAGAACTGGGCTCTTTTATTAACTATAGGTTATCTGTAGGCCTTCTTCATAATCCTCACAATAGTGTTCACACTGGGTGCCATGATTATTCCCATTTTAAAAATGAAAAAGTAAAGGCCCATAGATGCAAAGTGACTTACATAGCACATAGCCAGTAAGCAACCCAGCTGCTATTTCAACCCAAGTGAGTCTATACTCTTAACTATTGTTCTGCAAGTAGAGTTGACGTGTAACAAATAATGTTAATAGTATAATTTCATTTACAGGTAATAATTATTATCCATATCATACAAAGTAAGATACATGTGCTGTGAACATAATTTCATAAAAGGCCACATTTTACTAGAAAGTAAGTGAAACACATCAAAATATAAACCTGTTGGCCACGAACTAATACTCAGGAGATAGATGTATGATAATTTAGAGGCACTTAATGTAATATATGACCTATATTATCATGAAATAAGGTCAAAGATTGTTTGAGCTCAAGTTTCTTTTTTTCTGAACAAATTTGTTACTCAACATAATTTGTCTAAAATTATTTGATGGGGCTGATGTTCTATACCTGTCACTGTTAAGGACATCTGAAATGGAGATTTGTTGTTGAAAAGCATGGTTTTTTTCAATAGTGAAAGAATTAAAGTAAACTGAAAAAGACAGGGAATGAAGTAATGCATTCATATATGCCACCACTTAGCTTTGTCAGACCTCAATTTGATAAATTTCAACACTACTGGATTAAAACTCTTCGGGAAATAGAGGTAGAGGGGAAATTCCTTAACCTAAGGAGCACAGCTATACACATTCTGCAATTATCTACACATTTCATATGCTGTTTCCTTTAAAGCCTCTGGACAAGCACGCGTATTTTGCCTCTCATATTCTCCATTGCTCTGGACCTGCAGAGCCCAGTTGTGAAGAGAAAAGAAATGGAGGAAAGATTCAGAGGAAACCACAGAAATATAGTCATTCCTCATGTGATGGTGGTGGTGGGTTTTGTTGTTAATTTCTAGTCAAACCAGATGTTTGCTAAGAACTTTGTTCGTGTGATGATAATTTTTAATTTTTTGTTGAGGTCTGCATCCAGGGGTAGTGTGTAGTCAATTTCAGGCAATGTTCCATGGGTGCTTGGCTAGAATGTGATTTTCTACCTTGGAGATAAAGAATTCCCTGCATACAGGCAAGATGGTTGACTTAGTTGCATGGCTAGAAACAGTTTTGCTGTGCTCCGGAACCTTTCACTCCTGAAGGGTCATGTGTGTGTGCTCCGTGCCAGACCCTACACAGGTAAAACGCCCAAATTGTCACTGCCTTGAACACAGGGATCACCTACAATTATTCTAAGCTCAAATAAGCCACAAAATCAGAGGATTAATTTGGCCATTTGGGAACCTGAATTTTTCTTACAAAGATCACACTCCTCTAGGATGCGGGTGCTTGACCTCTGGTGATACGCCCCCCCAAGATGGGAACTCTCTGTTGTGTCTGTAAGTGGCTACACAAAGGCCAGAGCAAAAGTCTTGACTTCTTTTTAGGTATCATTTACCAATTTCTCCAACAGCTGTTAATCAAGCAGCTGTGTTCCAGCCCCTCAGGGTAAACAGTGAACAAAGCTGCGAAGTGCCTCCCTCAGAATTTATAACTGAGGGGTAACAGCCAGTAGATTTTCCATTTTCCCCTTGGACACCTGTCAGCTTTTGCTTTAATACATTGAGATGGTGACTGGGGTTATGTAATCTCAGAATTGTGTATTTCCTTATTATTTAGTGACTTTTAAAAAATCTCTGATAATTTTCTTTTACCCTAAGGTCGAATCTGTTGTAGCTTCCTTTTCGATGCAGGGCCAGTGTTAGGGATTCCCAGGGGAGATTTTGTTCAGCCCAAGACCCCAACAAGACAGAAGCTGGGGTATCACTCTCTGCTGGTGCACAGATTTCTGTTGTTCTACTTGGTCACTGAGCTGGCCATCCTATGTGGCCCTGGCCAGGACATGGGGGTCTGCAGCATCAGTGCCCTTTCCCTTACTCTGGGCAGCCACCTCAAATCCCTGGGATGCCACTTGCCAGCCTCTGATGGCTTCAAGGTAGGATCCAGACTTCTTGTTCAGCCTTTCAGCCCCTTTGCCCATCTGACCCCTGAAAGCATCTTCAGGCTTTCCTGCAAGCTCAGCCCCACACTCAGCAGGCGGTGTGCCGACATTTTCCTAGCACCTAGAGTTATGGTAGTTGGAGGGATTTCAGATTATGTATCCACCACATTTCTGGAACCAGAGAATTTTCCTCAGTATTATTTTTGAAAGTCAGGAATTACTTAACTTTTCTCACCTTTAGCCTCCCTTTTCTCTAAAGTTTATTCAAAGATTGACTCAACCCTCCATCAAAATGCAGTTATCTGAGCACTTCACACATCATTGGGAAGTCACAGAAACAAGTTTCAGGTCATGTGGGATTTCATAAAAGCTCAAAGCAGCCCGGCCACGACTGCTGCGCAGCAGAGTACAGTTGCCTCGGGGACCTGAGGCCTGAGATATTCTGGTTATTAGGCACCACTGAACCGTGGAGATGCAAAATATGCAGATTGCCACTGTGGATTTAATTACCTCCCCCAAACAAGTCCATGTTTTACAGGAAGAGGGAGAACATAAATCCAAATACAGTTACTTAAATCTCAGGCTGCACTAATTCAAGCGAATTTAACATTTATGGCTCTTTTTTGCCATAGAATGAAATCCCAATGTCTCCTGTCAGGCCTTTTCTTCTCTTTCCGTAAGTAAATATTTTGGCATTATAAAAAGTAATTCTACGGATGGATCCTCCTCAAATCTCAGATCAACCTGATGGCAGGATCAGCTTTCTCAAACTTGTATCAACAAAGCGCCTCCTCGACCGCCCCACCGCGTCTCTCTTGTGCGCGTGCGCACATGCACATTCACAAGCGCACATGGGCGCCTGCCTGATCTCCTGACAGCCTCCACGAGCTGCTTCCTTTGATAGTGTCCTTCCCCCACCCCCATTTACTATGAAATATATTTATTAAGTGCCATTGTAACCAGGGGAATGCAAAAGAAAATAAATCAGCAAAAATCCCTGTCCCCAAGGACTTTCCATTCCTGTGGGTTGTCATTGTTACTGCTACCGTCCATTGAACACCTGCTGTATGCTAGACTCCGTCCTAGCTGCTTTACTTACACATTATCTCTAATTCTGGTAACTTCCTTGCAAGGTGAATTATTATTCCATTTAACAGATGAAGAAGTTGAATCTCACAGAGAATAATGAACCTACCTGAGTGATTCAAAACTGTAGCCACCTGATTCCAAAGTCTTTGTTCTTTCATGTTATGGTGATGAGCTTCCACTTGAACCAAACCAAGATGCTTGCTCCTCCGAGAAGACTTTGCTGCAGCCCTCTGCCCCTGAGCCTTATAACATGTCTTCATCATGGCGCTGAGCCTTCCACTAGTTACCTGCTGACACACCTGTCCTTCCTGGGCCAACGTACCATCATATCCTATGCATCGTGGGTCACCAGTGCCCAGCACAGTACACGATCAACTGAAATAAGAAATATTGAATTACTAAACAAACATTCCCTATGGCCATCTTTAGTCCTCGAGCATCTGCTGGGAAGCTGCCCAACAGAGATGCTGGTGATTAGCTCAAACACTGGAAATTACTTTCCCTGACTTGTTCTCAAACATTTTACCATTATACTTCCCAATATCCACCTAAAATGCTGAGTCACACCTGGGTGGACTATCCCAGTGAGACAATGTATACATGTTAAGTGATATACAATCGAAGATGGTATCATATAATATAAAAACAAAAGATGGTGTCATTATGAATGTTCAGCAAGCTCCAGGCCTCTTAGTTAACAAAGCCTCATAAGGCAGCTACTCATTTGTGCTGAGCACTGCAATTCCAATTTGAATGCAAAATACATCCATGTATCTCCTCATAAAATCATAGTTAGTTTTAGTTCTCAAAATATGATTAATTCTGCTTTAGAAAATACAATTCTAAAATCTTTTCCAAACGTAATAACTGATGTTTTAAATCCTAATATTCTTTCAAACCGATTTGCTCCTCTTCCAGTAAATCACTGGATAAGAAACAATTATAGTGGACATGTATTATATGCTTCATATGTGCCAGACACTCCTGTAAATGCTTTCCAAGAACTACCCTCTTTTAATCCTAAACTCACAGTTTAGGTATACTTATTATCACTCCCATTTTGCACTCGAAGAAATAAATCATAGGAAGCCTAAGTTGCCCAAGGTCACACATCTGCTAAGTGCAAGACCCTGGATTTGAAACCAGGAAAGCTAATTCTGGAGTCCATCCTCTATTTTTAAATTTCTGGTTACATAGATAATACATTTAACTGATTCAAAAATCAAAACAACCTGAAAGGTCAACTATACAAAATAAAAAATAAAAAGGCACATTGTGGAAAGTCTTGTGCCCACCCTACTCTGCCTGCTTCTTTGTCCACCCCAACCTCAACTTCAAAATGTAAGTAACAACTTCTATTAGTTTCTTATATATCATTTTTGACTTTTTAAATGCAAATTCAAAACACAGTGAATATATGTTCCTGTGTTTCTCCATTTCTTACACAAAAGGCAGGATGCTACACACACTTTGCTTTTCCCTGTTAATAACCTGTTTTGGAGATCTTTCCACATCAATTCCTAAAAAGCCTTCTCATTGTTTTATACATACACATGTCATACTTTATGTCTACTGCTATCCTATGGATGTGCCACAATTTATTGAATCAGTTCTGTATTGATGGGACTTAGATTGTTTCAATTTTTGCTACTTACACAGTGTTACCATGAATAATCTTGATGTCCCTCTTTTCCCCTGTGTTGGTATATCTGTAGGGCATATTTCTAGAAAATGGGTTGTCAGGTCAAAAAATAGGTGTTTTATAATTTTCTTAATATTGATTGATTCCCTTCTATATTAATTAACCAATTTGCATGTCTTTCTGTAATTTGAGTAAATGTCTATTTCTTAACAGCCTCACCAATAAAATGTGCTGTTAAGTATGCTTGAATTTTTGCCCATTTTATAGGTGAAAAAAGATATTTCATTAAATCTCCATTTCTCTTACTATCAATGAGGTTGATAATAAGTTCTCATATGTTTGTTTTGTTTATTACGTTCTCTTCTCCTTGAGCTTATTCATATCTTTTGCCCATTTTTCAATTAGTTTGCTGGTCTTTTTCCTAATGAAATCTGGGATATTCTTTTAACCATTTTGCAATAGCAACTCTCAAGAAAAAGTGAAGACAATATTAATAAAGGTAATTGCCATAAAAATAATATTTTATCAAAATTGTTTAAGGTTAAAGTTAAAAGACTTCTCTGGTTACTTTTAACATTAAGCTCTAGTCATCAAATAAAACAATGCATATCAAATGCTCTAAAAAACTCTAGCTTATTAGTTATTCATTAATAACAGAGAAAAACATTTAGAGACAATAATGAAAAAATGTAAATAATTGAGATAAGATTCAGACCTCATGAATTTCACTAAAAACAGATGATTGATTAAATCTAAGAACCTTTCATCTGTACTCAGCTGATCAAGGACTTTTTCAATAGTGAGGAAATAAAGAAAAATTAAAAGCTTTTTTATTCTGCCACCTTTTTGAAGTGCATATTCAGATTATTTAGTGTCTAGATTTTTCTGGATTTCATGAACACTGTAGTTTTTTATTTTTAAAGCTCTTGCAAACTCATGAACAATGTACAAACCATCTCCTTAGAGACATGAGCTGAGGAGCTGCCCATAGCAACCATCCTAATTCTTCTGACAATTTATATCTGCAATCCCCAGATCTCAAGCAACTGGTTATCTTGGATTTTAGGTGCTCAGAGATGTAGTACACACTTCATTTCTACCCCCTCGGTGTTTTTTAATACCAGAGTCAATTTAGAGCCTCTCTGGCCTGGGGAAAGGAAAGAGAATAAGCCCAGGGTCTTCAGAGACTGGACTGGAACCAGAGCTCGACCATGGATGGATATGAGCAGAGAAATAAAGGGCCATCACCCAGATCAAGGTGTCTGGTACCTCTATGATGACTTGGTTATAAAAAGATGGCAAAATGAGGGCACTGCTCTGAAAAAGATCCAGTGATAGTAATACATGCAGTCATACAATATGTGTTGAACTCTTACAGGGGTCAGAGTGTGTGTATAATAGGCTTTTAGAAGAAATTCTGAAGCCCACAGACCCCATCCATGGATCAAACCAAATAATGCTGCCAGACTATCAGGGCCTCTAGTGAATCCAGTCAGGGCAGGTTTTGAGTAGAAGTTTCCCTCCTGGAGTGATTTGCTGGCAAAAGTGATATGACACTTCCTCATTTGTGTCTTTGAATTTGTTGACTAATGCAGTACAGCCACAGGATTTAAAAAAAAAAAGTACAATCACACTCATATAATTCTATTTATTATAAAATAGATTCAGGTTTCCCTGACTCCTCTCTTTAACAGTTGAGAAATTGCACACATGCTTATATCCATAATGGGTACAATATCTCTGTTAGATTAGGACATGTCCCTTCATGGTATTTATCCCAATGACTTTGAAACAAAAGCTCATCTTCAAGAGAGAAATCTTTTTATCTTAGCACAGACAGAATATAGAATATGACCTCTGAGACCCTGCCTGACCCAGCCCTGCCTACTTGGCAGCATCTTTTCATCCCCTCCCCTCTACACTCCAGCAAGCAGACATGCCCTTCAGTTCTCCGCGCACAGCGCCCTCCTTTCTATGCAGCCAAATAGAGCAAAGGCACATTTTTTTTTTTTTACAGGGTATTGCCGTATCTGGAATCATCCTTTCCCACTCTCGCCCATTCCACCAGCCTTTGCTCTATTTGGCTGCTATTTCCAGATCCCCCAGTACTTGTCACTTTCTCTAAGAATCTTTGCCTGACCCCCAGATTTCTCTTAGTGACACTTAAGTAATTACTTGGTGTCTGAATTCCCTGCTAGAATGGAAGCTCTATGGGAGCCGAGACGCATCTTGCCTTATCCTGCCATTCCCCACAGCCAGCACTGCACTGTGGACAAATGTCTGGTGAATGAATGACGTGGACTATGCTGTATTTGTCTGTATCTTCATGCCTGCACACTGGAAAACACTTAATAAATGTCTGTTGATTGACTGAAGGGATGAATGAATGAAAGGCTGTTCCCATAAAAACAAATTAACATTCAAATGATTACAAATACAAAATATTCTTATTTTACCATTTACATTACATTCAGGGTGTTTCTCTCCCACATAGGTTCTGGGAATTCTATTGTGAAAAACAATCCCAGGGTTCCTGAAAAGCCCTCTAACCTGCAGAGGGCTGACTTGAATCTGTTTGTGGGTATCATTTCTCCCAAAAAAGAACTCCTTTTGTGGGGTGACTCATTGTTCCCAAGATCAGAGCAGCTTTCCATTTGGCCCAGTGTTGTGGCCTGTTTCTGAACATCTGTGTTGATTTTTCTTGCTTTTTAAAAAATCCCTTTGGCCTGCAGTTTAAGAGAAATGAGAGGTTTCACATTGAATCCTTGAGGCTGACAGAACGTGGCTGTTCTGGATTAGAGTTCAAACAGCCCCAGTGCCGTGGCCTCTCCCACGACAGTGTCCTTCCTCCTTGTTGCCCAAGAACCCCAGGGAGCTGAGAGCAAAATTTCCAGTGCCAATGGCCTTATTAATGGGAAGAGAAGTTTACACATACACTACACCCCACCCCACCCCAAAACAACCCTATATACACCCAACACGCACACATCACCCACATACTCCCCAACACACATACACACACACAGTCTCATGAACAATCCACACCCCCAGATCAAAATAACACACACACCTCAGGCGAGCACCTTACTTCTCTTAATCCTAAAACAAGCCCTTGTTTCAGGCTTGTCCCCTCCCTTTGTGCAGCCTGCTCCGTCCTCCAGCCTAGACCCTGTTTGAGGTTCTACAGTCTTACGCTAAAAGTTCTTTTGGTTAAGGAAGACTCAAAAGAAATGTCAGTTCTTGGAAAAAATTTCAATGAAGGCAAATTTTGGTTTTGACCCCCAACTGGGGTAGTTCTGAATTTGAATTCAAATGTCCTTACTCTTGAATTAGCCCCTTTGCTTGTTTTTCCTACTAAACCATAGAATTGCCCTTCTTACCTTCTACCTTTCAGCACCCCCATTAGGGAAAAAGACAAAGACAGATTAATGTATTAAATCACTGATGGATTCATGCCATGTAGTAGTTATCTGTCCTAGGAGTGCTGCGTTTTAAAAGACAGTATGGGCAACGTTAGGAAAGCCCTGACACAGGAATGGCTCTCTACACACGAAATTTCAGTATTGTGGTGTCTAAGTGTGAAAATACATAGAATTTTACTCCTGACCATTCTTCCTCATAGCTCTAGTTAGGGACATGAGTCAATGAGAATGTGAATCTAAGTAATTCCCTCTGCCCCCACCTGCCCAGGCACACTAGTGATTGATTCAGCACAGTTGATGGTGTCCCCCGG